CCTGACTCAGGTTACCAATGAACTGAAATCCCACTTCTCCACCTTCACCGTCCCAATATGGACAACTCAAAGGCATAAGTCACAATATACATCACCAATGCTCGGTGGAGCAATGAGGTAGCTAGTCTCCAAGGTGGCAACTGTGGTAACAGAAAAACTCCTTCAAACCCCACCACCCCCACCCCAAGATCTCTGCATCCTAATGCCCAGACACTGTGTAGGTCAGGTTACATGGCAAAGAGAATTAAAGTTGCAGATGGAATGAAGGGTGCTAATCAGCTGACCTTAAAATAAGGAAGGCCCAATGTAATCACAGAAGTCCTTAAAAGTAGAAGAGGGAAGCCAAAAGAGAGAACCACGGAGATGGCAACACAAGAAAGACTAGCCAGATGTTGCTGGCTTTGCAGCAAGATGGAGGAAAGGGCCCGTAAGCCTAGGAATGCAGGCAGCTTCTAAAAGCTGGAAAAGGCAGGAAAAAAGATTCTCCCACAGCACCTTCAGAAAAGACTGCTGCCCTGCTGACACCTTGATTTCAGCCTGGTGAGACCTGCATCAATGTCTGAACTACAGAACTGTAATAAAAGGAATCTGTGCTGTTTTTTAAGTTTGGGGTGATTTATCACAGCAGCCACAGAAAATGGGTACAGCAACCAACACTTCCACTCCTCATGGTTGGGCATGCTGGTTCTCCCATCAAGAGTGGGAACTTATGCCCCGTCCCCTTGAATCTGGGCTGGGCCTGGGACCACTTTGACCAAAAGAACTTGGAAGTGACTTCACAGAACTTCAAGCCCAGTCATCAAGAAGTCCTGACAGCTTCTGCTTCATCCCAGCAGAGAGCTGAGCTTTAAGGTAAGAAGTCCAGACTACCCTGCTGGAGAAAGGGCCACAGGGAGAGGACCTGGAAGATGAGATGCCACCATGGAAAGAGAGACCACATGAGGGAACACCAAGGTATACTCCACACAGCCCCAGCTGCCATCTGATTACAACCACTTGAAGGGATCCATTTGTTGGGTATTTTTTAAATCACAAAAAGGTATGAAATTTTGTCAAATACCTTTTCTGTCTCTACTGAGATGATTATGTGGTTTTTCTTCTTTATTCTATTGATAAGATGTACTACATCAATTGATTTTCAGATGTTAAACCAGCCTTGCATTCCTAGGATAAATCACATTTGATCATGGTGTATAATCCTTTTAAATGTTGCTGGATTTGGTGCTAGTATTTTGTTGAGGTTTTCTGTATCTACATTCATAAAAGATACTGGCCTATAGTTTTCTATTCTTATAATGTCTTTGTCTGATTTTGGTATTAGGGAAATACTTGCCTGAAAAAATGAGAAGTGTTCCCTCCTCTTCTATTGTTGAGAAGGGTTGTGAATACTTGGTACTAATTCTTCTTTAAATGTTTGGGAGAATTTGCCAGTGAAGCCATCTGTGCTTCACTCTTTTTTGATTCTGAAATTTTATAAATGAACCAATGTGATTCTATAGTCTAGAACAAAGGGTAAAGGATAGTCTTACTTGTGTACTGCCTGGGTAACACATGTCTGGACACTTTTCACATGTGAGCTGCATATTTTTTGAGGGTATCCAACAAACTAACAAAATTCAAAAGAGGTCCCAACAGTGAATGATATCATATGAGAAACATTTGAAGAGCTTAATGTTTACTTGAAAAATGGGATTTAGGAGGCAAGAGTTATCCACAAACACTTCAGAACTGTCCTTAAAAATATAAAAACTGCATGGCATTACTCAATACTCAAGGACCATTCCAAGGCACAACAAATCATTCATTTATTCAGCAAACATTTATTCTGCATCTCCTTAGAGGAAGGCCGTGTTAGGTAATGACAGATTGGTAATGTAGAGTCTAGGAGCAGAGATAAGACAAGCACACAAAAACCAACTAACCATAACACAAGGGAGAGAATGAGAGGTGTTATGGGAGTAGAACAAAACGTACTTTGGAATTCAGAGGCAGGAGTCTTTATTTCCCACTGGCAGAATCAAAGATACCTGGAGAAGGAAGCATTGAGTTGGGCTTGGAAGGTGTGTACTATTTTTGTGTGGAGAAATATTTTAAGGGGTCATTCCAGATGGAGGGAAAGCAGACACAAAAGTGTAGAGGTGGAAACACAGTCAGACAAAAGAGTGGAACAAAGCTGAAGAAATGCATAGCCCAAGCTAACCAACCATACATGTAGACATATTAATTATTGGGGGATAAAACCAGAAGCGTGCCAAATAAAGTACAAAGAGCTCATACTCCACGCTACAGAGAATGACTATGTAAAGGTATTATTAAAGGTTTCAGGGGGCACCTGGGTGGCTCAGTTAGTTGAGCATCCGCCTTCAGCTCAGGTCATTATCCTGGGGTCCTGGGATGAAGCCCCGCACCAGGCTCCTCGCTCAGCGGAGAGTCTGCTTCTCCCTCTCCCTCTGCCCCTCCCCCTGCTCGTGCTCACTCTCCCTCCCTCTCTCTCTCTCAAATAAATGAGGATTTTAGAAAATACAAATGCTATGTGTTTATTCCTGGTATAAGTTAGAGGCAAACACAGGAGAGGCGGAAGGCTTACACAATGGTTAGTCAGGAGGAATGAAGTCCTGAAGCAGGTCACAGGAAGGTCACAGTGGGAATGGACATTAGGAGAGAGACCCATGAGTTATTTCAGAAATTGAATCAACAAACTCCAGATCTGAACTGTCAAGTCTAAGGGATTGTGAAAACAGAGCAAAAATCCCAGCAGGAGGAGGAACTGGCTGGGGGGACAGAGGTGGCACAGTGCTGTTACCCAGATGAATGTTTAGGATAGAACCAGGGGAATGTTCTAACCTACAGTCTTGCTCCAAGCACTTCTCAACCCTTCCCTGACTCATCACATCCCTCAGACTGCTCAACAAGAAAATGTCTGAAAAAAACAGTCAAACACTGAGCCAATCCACCCTAAGCGATGTTCCACTGGCTACTCAGTGCGACTCTCCATGAAGGTAAATGCTGGCTGCCCCCTCCATCAGATCCCCAAACAGACCATCTGAACAGCTGCCTTCTGGTCCTGAGCCTGCCATTCATTACCTCTGAAACCTTAAAAGACAAACTTTCTAAGTGGCAATTCCTTCATCTGTAACATAGGGATGATAACCTATTTCACAGGTTTGTGAGATTACACAGGAGGGTACAGAATGCTGCAAGACACACAAATGCCAGAGATCATTAGAAGCTCTTTGAGAGCAGAAACTACAACAAATTCATGTCTGTATCCTTCATGGAGGTAACTACAGAAAAAGGGAGGGAGCAAGATGGGCAAAAAAATACCACAGCCTGGGCCCCGGAGGCAGCCTGGTTTTAACCAAGGAATACTGACCTACCAGATCTTCGAGAAGATCCTACACCCAGAGAAACAGGAGGGGTCTTAATAATCATCCAGGTCTACCTCCTCATTTAACAGATGGAAAGTTTCACCCCGAGAGAGGCCCAGTGATCTGCCCAAGATCTTTAGTGGCGTATGGGGATAAGACCAATAACACATTCACAGTTCAGATGGTGATTTTACCCACACTGGCTTACAAATAGGCTTCGAGCTAGGTGAGAAAGGATTATTAAAATTCCCATTTTTAGCCTGAGGGTGAATGACTTGTCCAAGAGGGATTCAAATCCAGACAGTCATACCCCCAGTCCACAGCTCTTTCCCTACACCACAACTTCATGCATATGCACAATTTCAAGCACAATCATTTCAGCATTCAATATTTCAAACTCCAAATTCTGTTTGTCTCATCCTGCCTCCAGCAATATTTCACATTCAGCCTTCCCTGGTAGGATTCTACTGACCTTTTGTCTCAAAGAAAAACCAGTTCAGCAGCCACCCTGGCACCAGAAAAATTTTTTAAAATGAATCATCAAAACTGGGTCTTTCCAGATAAATCATCTTCACAAAGTATATCCCCACAGGTGTATCATTCAAGATGTATATCATTATTGCACTAAATACACTGGACTAGGGTGCTCAAGGAGCAATGAAACCCATTAATTGAAGCAACGTGTAATATACAAACGCTAAGAAGGCAGTTTTAGCAAATGGGCAGAATACGGAGGTAAAAACGTCTTGACTTTAGAACTAATTTGCATTATGGAAGGGTCTCAACGTTAAGTGACCAACACTGAAAATTACCCCGATAATTCTAGTCATCTTTATCCAAAGAATCTCTACCTGAATACATTTTTATTTGGGGAGGTCCAGGGAAGGGGTGGGAGAAGAAAGTGCTAAGAAGGACTCAACGTACCACTGTCTCAATGTCCTCTTTACTAAACAGGGCCTGTCTTTCCACCACAACCCCTATTTCAGGAGCAAGGCATGCGTGTTCTGCTGCCCTCTTTTAACTCAATGGAAGAGGATTAACATTGCTCAGTCTCCTGAAGCTTGCACTGGCTTGTCATCGGGGTTCACCCCGAGTGTGTTGACACCTCCAGGCGGTACTTCCAACGGGCCGGGGCGCCAGGCTGCGTACCCTCTACCGTAGCCTGCGTTTCACTACGCTCGCTTGTGAACCAGCCTCCGCGGTTGGCAGTAGTTTCTGCTGGAAACCACCCGCATTCGTTCAAGTTCCCTCTCCTTTCTCTTTATGTCGTAAACCGCGACACAACTGCCCACCCCCGCCGGGTCAGCGCGGGTAACGGATCCTAACAGCCCAGCAGCCCTCAGGAGACTAGGCACCCGTCTGGTGAAGGCACCTGCCTGGTGAAGGCACCTGCCCCTCCCCCGCCCCCGCCTCCTGCCCCGGCCCCGCCGGGCGTGGAGGATCTCAGGGGTGGCTGCACTGGCCGCCCCCAGCAGCAGCGAGGCCGAGACGCCCGGCCCGCACCCCACCGCCTTCCCACGCAGGGCGCTGCCCGGAGGCTGCGGGCGAGCGCGGGGAGGAGACCGGCCCCAGAGACTACGCCCCCACCTCCATTAATAAAACGCAAGGGGGCAAAGAAAAAGCTCCATTTACCGATATGAGTGATCACTGTGGCCAGTCGCCGGCTGAGCTCCTCAGGGGCCATTTCTTCCTTTAACCAAAATAGCATTTCACCGAAAAGCCACTCAGTATGTAAACAAAACAAAGCAACACGTAAGTGTTTCTACTGCTGTTATGGATGGTGTTTCAAAGACATCTCCTTCCGAGGATGCGCTGCCCTCACATTCTTCCTTGCTCTCTTCAGGCACAAAACGAGTCACTCCCAGCCCAGGCCAACTTTCCTGGGCCGCTCGGCCAGCCACGCCCTTCAGGGAATTGTCTTAAAGATTAAAATCCAGCAGCTTTCCCAACGTAATGTCTGGCTTTGAGAGAGGGGGAAATGGCAGTTCTGGAGGTAAGAAAAGCAGTCGCCCCAAATCACGCTGTAACCGAGCGTCGGGCTTCCCCCGCCGAGGGAGCGCTGGGGTCTCTGGATTTGCTGTCCCCATAGGTCGGGTCTTCGGCGCCGCCTTCCGGTAGGGTCGGGAAGAACGATGCTCTGCCAGCACGCGGAGGAAGTGCGGGGCCTGCGCGCACGGAGGGCTGACGACGGGTGGAGGAGCGGAGGGCGGAGGAGCGGAAGGCGAGGGCGGCAGGCGGCCTGAGGCCCCTGCTCCTGCGCGCGGTCCACCTCACGCCCCGCGGCGCGCCCGGCGCTCCAGCCTCCGCGCCCACCTCTCCCCGCCCTCGGCAGCGCGCACGCGCCCGAGCGCTGTCTGTTGCCAGGTGGAGAAGCTGCGCCCGTTGCCTTGCGAGGAGCCCACGGCGCGGCCCACGGAGTGGGTCGACTCACTGTGTGTCCTCGCAGCTTTTGGGGAGAGGGGACAGCGATTTAGGCGCTCCTGCTAGTACCGGGGTTCTGAACGCCTGCCTCGACCCCCTCCTTGCCCGCCAGGTGCCTGCAGAGCGGCCCAGGCGAAGAGGGGGCTGACTGGGAGAGGTGCAGCCATCCCGCCGGGGAGGCTGCTCGCACCGCCGCCCCTGCCCCAGGGGTCGTCTCAGCGGTAATCAGCATGCACCGGACGCACCCGCACTCGGAGCCGGGAGCGCGGGCTGTGCGCGGTCAGGGCTGGGCACGCCTGTGCGCACACACATCTCCACCGTGTGGGCCTTTTCCTTTGTGCAGCTACTCCAGGGCGTCACCGCTCCGTCTGCCACTGTCAGGCGCGCCAAGGCTCCGTCCTAACAAGGCTCTGGCACAAGCCCCACGCGGGGCCCTCCTCCCTGTCAGCCCCGGGAGCGTCTTCTCTGGGCCGCTCCCCCGCGGCAATCGATGTCCTGCAGCTTCCTCACGTGGCCCCAGATCTACCTGACAGGCAGCGAAAGACTAACCCCATTCCGCAGAACTCCACAGCCAAAGCCTAAGCAAACGCGAATCTGGTCAGGTTGTTCCTCAATCCATTCTACCACGGGGGACCCTGAGTATCTGGTCGCAAGAAGGCCAGGACCGTCACAGCTTCTAAGCCACCGCCAGGAAGCTCAGCTTTCCTCTTTGATATGTAAAAAGCCAGACCGCAAACACTCCGGATCTAATTTCTAATAGTAGCCAGTCACCCCAGGAGCATGAGTACATTTTTAAATGCTTTCGGTAACAACTGTGGGCTGTGGTTAAGAGACGTTACTCCACAGCAAACCCCGTGGAGGGTTACTCTTTCCTGTGAAGTAAGTGCACTCTGCCTGCACAAGTAGAGCAGTCATTGTCATAGCACCCACTTGAAGAAGAGTCAGAAAAGGGTGAAAGACACAAAGAAGTAAGACAGCCTTAGACCGCGTTCAGTGGTGGCTTCTCTGCCTATTCAACAGTCACAAGTACTGTTGAGGAACCAAATGAAATGTTTCTTGATCATAGTAGTTGGAACCCTGGTGCCCAGTCAGAGCCAATTGTGAGTTTTGATCACTAGAAACAAGCACATTGCCAAGGAGGCAGATGATGTGCAGCATTCTGGCCTTTGCAGATCCGGTGACCTCAGGCTTCCTGGACAGGTCCTTACATGTGAAAATCATGAAAAGGAGGGAGAGGAAGAGAAGGCAGAAGAAACTGATAAATAGGAATGAGGGAGAAAAGGAAAGGCATAGAAAAGAAATCACATTCAGAGTCCTGCTCTCCTTTCCCACATCTGTACCTTCACAATCTTCAAAGGTCTCCATGGAGGGGCGGCTGGGTGGCTCAGTCGTTTAAGCATCTGCCTTCAGCTGAGGTCATAATCCCAGGGTCCTGGGATCAAGCCCCACCTGGGGCTCCTTGCTCAGAGAGAAGCCTGCTTCTCCCTTTCCCACTCCCCCTGCTTGTGTTCCCTTTCTTTCTGTGTCTCTCTGTCAAATAAATAAATAAAATCTTAAAAAAAAAAGGTTTCCATGGAGATTAATTGACTGAATTTATGGCAAGATGTAGCAGGCAGTACCTGTCCTCAGAAACCAATTCTGTCCCCCCATCTCTAACACATGCTCTTCCAGGGCCCCAACTGCTTTATCTGGGCTACGAGGAGGTGGGTCTGTGGTCTCCAAGTTTCCTTTTCCAGTTCTGAAATCCTGTCATTGTAACTAAGAAGATATGATCGCCTAGTGTGCAATAACCCATACCTCCCCTTGCCTCCCTCCCAGGAAAACAAATGGTCATTGTCTCCATTGCTCCTATGACTATGAACATTCCTATTGTCTTCTCTTCTTCCTCTCCATCCTCCTCTTTTCTGTGTCTCCTTTTCTCCTTCCTAATTCTGATCTATTTCCTGTCTCTGACAAATCACATTGCTCCAATGTCTGACAAAATCAAGGAACAAGCCAGAATAGCCTGCCTCCTCCAGTGAATCAATTAGCTATCAGTCACATCCGTTGAACATCTGCCATATGCCCAGGGTTGTGAGAGGTAGTGTCAAGTACAGCAACTGCCACCACCATCTCCTAAGTGACTACCCTGCCTGGTGCAATGGTAGGCATTTCACAGACATCGTTTAAGCCTCACAACAACCCTTTAAGGGCTTTGGTCTCATTTTACGATGTTCCGAGTACAAAGATGAAACTGAATATTACTAATCTGATGAATCTAGACCAGTCTCTGCCTTCAAGTAAAGCTTTGCCTAAGCTTGGAAAGAGAAACCTCCTCCAAGTACTGCCAAAGTAGATTCTACCTCTGTTGGTGAACTCTCAGCACAATGAAGAAAAAGAAAGGACCCAATCTGGGTGACCCAGATGAGGGTGAGGGATGCCTGGGCATCACACGGTCACCAAGTTAAGTCTAGATCCATGGTTTTCAAACTAACAATCACCTAAAATACAGGTTTGTTGGTTGGTTGGTTTTTAATTTGGATTCCTGGTCCCCACCTCCAGAGATCTGACTCAGTAGTGTGGAATGGAACCCAATAATTTGCATTTCTAACAAGTCCCCAGGAAAACTGATGCTGCTGGTCTTGGGACTACACTTTGAGCACCACTGGCCTAGAGCAGGGCTCTTCAAATTTCTTAGACTGCAAACCACAGTATGATATAAAATTTACATCATGACACAGTAGACATACATACACACAATGAAAACAAAAGTTGTATGAACAATTTATTTTCCCTTACTACATGTGAAGCCCTAAAATACTTTCTATTTAATTTCATTTTTAAAAAACAACGGCCAAATTGGGGAAATTTTCATTTGGAAAGTATGGTATTCAGTTATGTAAGAAAATGTCCTTATTCTTTTAGAGATGTATGCTGAAGTTTTTAGGGATGAAACATCATTGTAATTTAAACTACCTTAGCAAGGAGAATAAATGAGATAAATACTGGGAAATGTTCATAATTGTTAAATCAAGGTGGTATATGGGTTGTTTTGCTACTTATTCTCTCTACTTTTATGCATGTTTAAATATTTGTCATAATAAAAAGTTTTTTAGAATGATTGTTTGGACCTACTCAGTTGCTTGTATGACCCAGTAAGGAGTTGCTCCCAGCAGTTTGAAAAGCTCTGTGCTAAGATAGAGCAGAGGAAAACAGAAGAGGAAGAGAGATGGTAAAGATAAGGTTAAGAGGGTGGGGAGAAGGTGACAGGAGATGGAGGATAAGAGAGGTAGAAGTGCACTGTGGGAGGGGGTAGGGGTCACCACAAATGTCTCAGGATAATGCCCCTCTAAAGGGCCTCTTTCTCCACATCCCACTCTATCTTCACTGTCCTTTCTGCATTGGACCCTGGGCTACTTGGCAAGGAAAATACCTTATTCACTTCTGTAAACCCCACAGTTCCTGGACCAAGCCCAGAGTTAGAAAATAGCCATCAGTCAAAGCCTCTCATCTCACAGAGGTCTTGGAACTGCCTCAACATTGCAATGTTGCCTCCTTCCCCCAGTGCTGCCTGGTAGGATAAGCCTCAATACACCAGGAGTCCAGCTGTTCTCGTACATAAGACCATATTCTTTTCTAAGGAGTCACACCATGTGCTATCTAGTGCACAGCTGACTAGATAGGTGAACCCAAAAGAGTGAAAAAGTCACCTGGGTTCACACCATCCTGACCGTCATTCCACTGTCACCTTGTGTTTCCCGAAACCAGCTGCCCAGGCACAGGGGAGCATGGGAGTACGCAAGTGTGTATATTTGGAGGGGACGATACACCTGCCTCTACCTCTGTATTTTCACTCTCCTCCCCCATATACGTCCTTTCTCAAATTTAATCTATTGTCAAAATAATGTATTTTCTTTGCAGAACATATTAGCAAAGTACAGAAAACTGAAAAGAAGAGGTGGGGAAAAGGAAAATTGATCATAGTTCCATCACCCATAGGCAAAACCACTTGGAATTTTAAAGAGTATTTGATGTATGATTTTCATTAATAGACTATTTATTAGGGCAGTTTTAGACTTCCAAAAAATTGAGCAGAAAGTACTAAAAATTCCCATAAACCCACTCTCTCAAAACAGTTTCTCATATCATTAACATCCTTTATTTGTGTGGCATGTGTGTTACAATTGATGAACCGGTATGGATACATTATTAACTAAAGTCGATACATTAAGGTTCACTTTTTGTGTTGTACTATTCTATGGGTTTTTTACTAATGCATAATGCCATGTATGTATCCACAATGACAGTTATCACACAGAATAGTTTTATTGCCTTAAAAATCTTCTATGCTCCACCGATTCACCCTCCCTTCCCCTCAAATTTGGAGCAACCACTAATCTTTTTACTGTCTCCATAGTTTCTTCTTTTCCAGAATGTCATATAGTTGGAATCATACAGTATGTAGCCACTTCAGACTGGCTGCCCTCACTTAGCAATATGTATTTAAGTTCTTTCTGTGTCTTTTTATGGCTTGTTAACTTGTTTCTTTTTATCACTGAATAATATTCTTTATATTCTGTTGTGTAGAGGCATCTGTTTATCCATTCACCTACTGAAGGACATCTAGGTTGTTTTCAGTTAGGGGCAATTATGAATAAAACTGCTATAAACATTGTGCACAGGTTTTTATGTGGGCCTAAATTTTTAACTCATTTGGGTAAATACCTATGAATGCAATTGCTCAATGTTGTGGTAAGACTATGTTTACCT